ACAGAGGATCTCAAACCCTTTCCACTCTCCTAAAGGAGTCCACGATACCATTTTACAGATGAGAGAACTGAGGCTGAGAGAAATGACAGCACTGTCTCCTCGTCCCCATGTGTCCCAGTGGGCATTTCCGGTGCCTTCCAAGCTTTCACATCTGTCAGCAGAGCAAGTGCCGAACACGACACCCCTCCCTTCTCCCTCTGAGATCCCGGACTTACAGCACCTCTAGGGAGAAGCCCCCGCCCGGGTGCCAGGCCTGGGTACCCTGTGGCCAGAAACGGAGGACGGTGGCTCCTGACAGCCGAGGGGAGAATGTAAACTCTCGCTCACACGGGCCCCTCTAGGAAATGCCTCATCTCCTCGTCCTTAGTGTTCAGCGCCAAGAGTGGGTGGCCAGGAACTGCGGGCTGCAGAGCTGACCTCGCTCCTCTGTGCTGCTCAGGGAAGGAGCCCCGAGGGCTCCACCTGCCCTGAGCCGGGTCCTGCAGGAACAGCTTCCGTGTATCACGCGGCGTCTGCAGGACCTTTCTGATGGGGCTTGTAAAGCCCCCTCTCCCTTCACAGGACTTGCTTTGTTTTTCATGCTTATTGTTGTGGAACTGAATAACACAGGAATTTATAGAAAGAGAAAGCTGGAGCATCTGCCCGCACCCTGACCAGCTCGGCCAGGTGTTGCAGAGACAGGGGCTGTGGGTCAGGCTGGTGGAGTTGAAACCTTGGCTCCCCCTCTGCCCTCAGGTCAGGTCCCCTCTCTGAGCCTCGGTGTCCCCATCTGTAAAAAGGCAGTGATGGCCCCTCCCCCACAGCACTGGGTACAGGAGAAAATGGCAGGGTGAGGAGACAGCACCTGGCACAGCTGCCGCTCCCTGGCCCCTGCCCGCCTCCCCCCTTTCTCACCCAGGGCATCAGTTGGGCCGACGGCATGGCCAAGGCGCTGAGCCCCTACCAGGAGCCAGCAGCTCCGAGTCACGCCTGAGCCACCTCCTGGCTGGGATGGCCTGGGCATGGACGCACCATCTGGGAACTTTAGCGTCTCTGATTGTAATATCTGCAAACTCAGGATAGAGCCACCTTCCCTGCCTACGTCCAGAAACTTGAATGCTACGTCATCTAGGAGGGAAATTAGCCAATATCCAGATAAGTGAAAATACACACGCCCTCTAACCTAGCAATGCCCCTTCCAGTGGGCATCGTGCACCTGAGCAGGACAACGGGTGCACAGGGCCATCCACTGCAGCCCAAGGACGGGAGCAACTTAAACACCCATCCATAAAGACTGTAAGGTAAATTCCGATATTTCCATACGATGGCGTGTTCCGCAACTGTCACACAACGGAGCAGCCCCCTAGGCCCTGAGATGGGATCTCAATATGGAATGAGAAAGCTTAAGGTCGGAGAGGTTTTCCCATCACCAACAGGCCTCAGGGTCCGAATGGGGGGCGATTCTGAACCTTGAGGAAACTGGAGCAAAGGAGAAGGGCCGGCCCCCTGCTCGGCGGTTCTGTACCAGGAGCTTTTATTCAGCACCTACGATGCACCAGGCTCCTCAAAGAGACTGTCTAACGCTGCCTGGAAGGAGCCTGCCTGGAACCAGATCTGGGCTCTGGTCCCGATGCCGGCACTAACTGCCCCTGAGAGCCTGGGCAAGGCCCATGTCATCTTGTGGCCTCAGGCTCCTCATCTGTAGAGCGGGGTTGGGCTGGATGACCTGAAGGTCCCTCCTGTGCTGATGTTCCAGGACGCAGGAGACAGAACGAGGATCCCGGGCCTCTCACAGTGAACCCAAAATGAGCATCTTTGCTGCTTCGACTGGGGAACCCCTAAGTCACATGTGGACCTCTTCCCTGGGGTGAGGGACATTCTCAGACTATCGAGTTCCGCTTGCAGCCTTCCATGACCGCATGAGTCAGCCCCTGAATCACGTGAGTCTTCTGCGCAGACCCACAGCAAACGCCCAACCTCCTGACATCTCCTACCAAGGCTATCAGATTCAACAGCGGGTCTGCGCCTCTTGGGAATCTTCCCAGTGAGACGTTTCTGAAGACGAAATAAAGGAAACCAGACCCTCCCCCTGCCCTGCCCTGGACGATTTCTCCTCATCTGAAGGGAGGGGAACTTGAGCTTCATGGGGAGGGGCGTTGGCCGTGTTGTTCACTGCTGTTTCCACAGCACCCAGGGTGGAGCCCAGCACACAGTAGGTGCTCAGCGAGTGCCTGCTGCATAAAGAGACTTGGCCACCCTGAGCGTGACAGCGCTCTCTGGAGGCAGCAGGCGAGGTCTGGCCTGCGACTGGGCAAGTCACTCAATGTGTCAGTTCCCTCCTCCGTGGAACCAAAGGGCTGGGCCAGACTGGGAAGGGAGGGCAGGGGCTGTGGGGCCAGGTGGAGCCGGGGTGCAGCCCTTCCTACCAGTCACCAGCCAGGAGCCTGGAACAAGTAGCATGACGTCCCCAGGCCTCAACTTCCCTGCTGCGTAGCAGAGGGTGACATCAGATCATGAACACGAGGACCCGCCACCACACCTGAGTGCTGCTCACAGACTGGGGGGTGTTATCACTGACTCGCTGGCACAGACCACAGGACAACGGAGGCCCACGCTGTACTCACCACTCACAGACAACTCGGTGCCTGGTCCAGACTTAACCTCCACGTTGTTAGGAGATGCTCTCCGGAACTTCACACAGTAGTAGGTGCCGGCGTCCTCTGGGGTGATGTTACTGATGCGGATGGAGAAGTCTGTGTTGTTTCTCTTTGTGTTATCTTCAAGAAACGTCACCCGGGGAGAGGGGCCTTTTTGACTGTAGAATAATTCTCGGCTTTGCCCAGTCACCCTGAACCACTCGATGGGCCCCACGGGGACCAGGGCAGTCACGGTGCAGCGTAGAATGGCCGACTCTCCAGCCGCCACTGACACTGACTTGTCAGGTTGAAGCACCTGCAGCTCCTCCTCTCCTGCCGCCCCTGGAGGGAAACACAGAGCAGCCATTTATTCCTCCCACGTGATCCTGTACGTTTCTTAAACATTTATCAACACTGATTTCCACTGACTGGACGCACACCGTGGGTGGGCCTTAAGCTCAGCACACTGCGTGTGTCATCTCATTCAACCCTCCCAACCATCCTGTAACATGAGATTGTGTTACAAATGAGGAAACTGAGGCACAGAGGGCTAAGTGATATAGCGAAGTGTGGCTTTGAGAGTCTGAGCCCTCCATGGAAGGGTCAGAGCTGGGCCTTGGAATTCTAATCAGAACCTACCCTGTTTTTGGCAGAGGGACTGGCCAGGCAAAGGCTCAGCGGTAGGCGCCGAGGGTCTGTGGCTCTACGAGGCCTCAGATTCTGGGTCCAGCCTGGCCCAGGCAGTGGGCCCTGCGTGGGGAAGTTGTGCTCCGCAGCGGGAAGGTAGGAGAATGTGGTCCGAGTCCTGGCTCAGTGGCTCTCAGCCGTGTGACCCTGGGGCACACTGTGACACTGACAAGACCCAGAGGGTACTCGTGCGAGTGTTTGCAACAACAGCCACGTGCCGCAGAAATGGCAGAGCTGCCCTGAGTTTGGGCAGGTCCCTTTACCGCTCTCAGCCTTGGTTTCCTCATCGGCGGGATAGTTACCATGACCCCACCTCGAGGGATCCCTGGGAGGTCCACACAAGCCTAGGCCAGGCCAGGCCAGTGTCAGAAAGAAGCATCTGGTCTTTGGAGTCATGGGACCTGGTTGGAACCTGGCTTGCTATTTCCTTATCTGCAAGATGGGGAGAACACCCCTAGGCCTCTGCTTTGTTCTGAAAAGAAAACGCGATCACACGTACAGCGCTGGGCATGGGAGCTGTTGTTACACAAATAATGAATAAACGGGGAGGGGCTGTTGCCCAAATTTCACTCTCACGGATCCTCGCTGATGCCCCTGTGGGCCAGGCCCCCACTGGATGATGGGGACACACAGGGCTGGACCCAGCCCAGGCCTAACGGGCTCCTGGCCAGGTAGCTGGAAGGAGTCCTAGAGGTCGGCCGTGGGGAGGGCCCCGAGCCCCAAATTGGAGACCACAGGGGCACATAAGACAGGGACCCTGGGGAGAGACTGGGGAGCAGAGGGGAGGGCACAGCCAGGAAGACGACGGGCAGGATGAGGCTGCCGTGAGATGTTCCGCAGATGCTCAGGGCCGAGTGAGAACAGCTCAGAGCAAGGCAGCCACCGCCCAGATCCTAACACAGTGGGGGTACAGGGGACAAAAAAAGAAAGATCACAAAGACGTCAGAGAAACACATACACACAGCAACAGAGACAGAGTGAGACAGAGACGGGGAGAGCAGGGTGAGGCAGGCGGTGACAGGAGCGGCAGGAGCCTGGTACACAGGGGCCCCAGATGGGCTCTCCACTGACCCTCAGTGTGACCGTGTCCCACCCTCACCTGGGCCACTTTCACCTTGTCCATCAGGCAGGGCTGCAGCAGATGCCTGAGCAGCCCCTCCAGCTCTGGCTGGGCAGGAGAGAGACCCTGTGTATTTGCCCACCAGCCTGTGGCCTGGCACCACTCTGCTGGCAGGGGCGGGGCACCCAAGGAAAGAGAGGTTCACGGACCCCAGTCTGCCCTCACTGTGGCAGTCCCAGGGCCATCTTCCCATTTCCCTGCCTCTTCCCCCTTCCCAGCCTCACCCAGCTCTGATGCCAGCCAGGGGTCACCCTTGGGGCCCGGTTCCCTGGCAGGTGAGTGGAGTCTCAGAGTGTCAGCTGGAGCATGCCTGATCCTCACGGCATAGGGCACAGGGAAGAAACCAGAGCCCGCGGGTGGCAGGGCTCAGCCAGCGTCAGCCAGGCTGACAGGGGTGGGCTGGTGGCCAGGTGTGTGAGAGGCCCTCGGAGGCAGGTGGCCACCCTGGGGCACCAAGGGTAGCACCAGCAGCGCTGAGCCAGGAACATTCCGGATGGGTCTGCATTTCAGCATGGGAGACTGGACGAACTGGAAATGCCGCTTGGGGGAAGCACAGGCCCGGTTCCCCACCCTCCCAGGGCCCCCATTCTACCATCCATAAAGTGGGGTTCCAGCATCCACCCTCATCACAGTCCCGAGGACCGTGGTGCTGCTTAAATTTCAGTCCTATTCCTGTTAGTATCACATAGCTGTATTATTTATATATTTGATTTTCTCTGGGTCGTCATCTTCCTGGTAAGGATACAGGATCCACAAGGGACTTTTCCCAACCTCCTGCCTGGAACGGTGTCGGGCATACACTGGCTCCTTCATAAATATTAACACGTGCTGAATGAATGCATTAACTAATGAAGGAAGGAAGGATTTTATTTGCTCTGTGACTCTGGGCAAATGTCCTCTCCGAGCCTCTTTATCCATCTGTTAAATGGAGCCAATACTGGCATGTCCAGGAGAGGGTGCAGGCCCGGAGCCCAGGACCCAGCCGCTGGCAGTTCTTATCCGTATCAATACCGCCACCCAGGGCTGTGCGTGAGTCAGCAGTCGGGAGGGGGGAGGCGGGAGAGGCTGCGGAGTCAGGCGTGCGGCATGTTGGAGCAGGGCTATTCTTGTGGTGCAGCCGGAGGCCTGTAATCACACCCTGGGCAGGCGACAATAAAATCTGGAGTTGTGTAGGGCTGGCTCCCCCATTTTTTTTTTTTAGCTCCTCTCAAGCTCTCTCCACCAAGTGCAGCCAGATTTAGGCAGCTTAATTAATTAGCTAGTGTTTATAAAGCGTTTGAAGAATTTTAAAAGTGCGACGTAAGTGCCAAATATTATTTTAATCTGTGTATGTGTGTGTTTTTTCCAGCAGAGACTTTTTTTCTCGCTTGCTTGCTTTTCTTCTTCTCGGCAGGTTCTGTTCTGGGAAACGGCCTTGTTAAAAATCACTCCTGCAGTTCTGGGCCTGGGGTCATCACGCTGGCATTGCTGACCAAACCACTTCCTCCTCTCTCTTTCCTTCCTGGCAGAGCGAGGCTGTCCAGGGCCCTGGACTGTCTCTGCGAGAGGAGGGCGGCTGGGCAGCTATTCCCACGCACTGCTGGTGGGAGTGGAAATTGGAACATCCTTTCGGGAAAGCAGTTTGGCAGGATGAACCAAAGGTGTGAAATCTGTTCACCAGCCTTTGCTGGGCTGTTCCACGAGGACATAACCCCAGATATGGAGTGAGTTTCCTGCATAACGATCTTTCAAAAGTTGGAAAGAAACCCAAATGGCCAATGATAGGGGATGGTTAAGTGAATTACGGCCTATCCCCCACGTGGAATTACAGGCAGCCATAACAAGCCATTACCATAAAAACCGTGGCAATATAGAAATTTGCATGGTATAATTTTAAATAATATCGTGGTTATGCAAATAAAACCTGTTCACTGCCAGGCATTTAGAGAAAACAAAAAAGTATAAAAATAAAGCAATAATCTCATAAAACATCATCAAAGGTAACTGCAATCAACATTTTGATGTAGTTAAAATATGAGTGAAGAAAAACAATGTGAAATTGTACCTTCGGATAACTAAGGATATGTGCAAACATTTTGCTTTATTCATCTAAGTGTTCTTATAAAAATGAGAAATTGAAGATACCCTAAAATCCAAGGAAAGGAGATGGGCTGACCCCATTATGGTAAATCTACTTGACGGTCAAGTCTACAGCTATGGAAATGACGGTGTGGAATTACAATGGGGATATGTTACAAGACCAGAGTCAGTTGCTGAGTGATGGATTCAGTGTGATCCCAAACTTCCAGTTTTGGGGGGAAAAGTGACATTAAGGATTAGCAATGATTAACTTTGAGTGGTAGATCTACATAGAATTTTGCTTTTGTTTATGTTTTGTTTGTATTACTTGTATAAGAAAAAAGATGAAGGAAAAACTGCACTTTTCTGTATGATCAGACTTTGTAAAATAAAACTCTATAGCAGCAACTGCAAGGCAGTATCCAAAGCTATAAAATGCAACTCTTTTTGGATCATGAATCTAAAACGGATGGGTTTTTCTCTTTTTTTTCCTTCTACTTTGGGTATTTTTCAGATTCTCTAAACTGTATGAAAACTAAAGAATATGTACAGTATCTCCTTTAGTTTAAAAAAACTGATACATGTAATATGTATGTTACATATGTGTCTATGATTTGAATGAACCTCCCCTCCAGGGATTTTGTCTGTTTTGTTCACTGCTATTTCCCCAGCTCCTGATACTGTGTTTGGCACAGAGTAGATGCTCAATAAATATCTACTGATTGACTGACCAATTGCATGTCTAGAGAAAAAGGTCTAGGATGATAAGGTAAACACTGCAATGTTGTGGTGTGTTATATCTGGGAAAAGGGACTGGGGTGGGATGGGGGAGGGCATGTTTTCTTATTGCTTTATATAATAATAAGTAATATATTGCATATATTGAAGTCTTTTTTGCAGTGAACATTTATCGCTTTTGGAAAAAAGTGAAAGCAATAAAACAAAACAAATAATAAGTTTTCTAAGGGGAGAAGTCAGCACAGTAGGTAGTAAGGTGGTAACTGTGCCTTTGTTGTAAGAGGAGCTAGTGTCCACAGGACAAGGAGAGCCCACAGCACTGGGTGCTCAGAGATGAATTACTGGACCCTCCCTGTGCCAGGCCCTGAGCTAAGCCCTGTGGAATGGCTGTGTCCCCAGCCTCCTGGAGTTTGCACACTAGGGCTGGACACAGACTTTGAAGCAATCACTCAAATGGTTACATCTGGAATGAACGCAAGCTCCTAGGCAAGTGGCTCCTGCTGGCGTCTCTGACCCCATCTCTGACGCTCCCTGACCTGCTGCACCCACTGTCTCCTTTCTGTTCCTTGAATTGGCCCAGGAGGGTGTGACCAGCTGTGTCAAATGCCACTGAGAGATGTGCTAAGATGGGGGCTGAGAACAGACCCCTGGGCTTAGAAAAATGTATTCACTTTTTAAAAAGAATGTTCATGTGTGGCTTTTGAGATTAAGAAAAGATGAAAACGATTTTCATAAGAAG